ACCGACCCCTTCCGCGCTTCGCCTCGCGCCCTGCAGTCGCCCGCGCCCCCGCCGGTCGCCTGGGCAATCGGGCCCCTCTCGGCGGCCCTGCAGTTGCCGTTCGGAGAGCGCGTCGGGGCCCCGCAGGGAGTGCGGGGGTGGCCCGCCGAGGGCTAGTCGCGTTCCCTGGCATGCGGTGCGAGTGACCCATGGAAGTGGTTCGCTCGATGTCGGAGTCCTGTTGACTGGTCGCGTAAGTGATCTCGAGGTCAGCCAGCGTCCTGCGAGTGTTCGTGTTGAGTGGTCTGCGTGCGCTCGATTTGCTCGACAGTTTTTTGTTGTTATAGTACTTGTGAAATGTTGGTTTAATTATGATAATGCTATTCGCTCGCGGCTGTGCCTTGTTTGATTTCTGAGCCTTTCCAAAGAATGCTATCCGCGCGGCTGCGTTTGTTGCTCTGACTATTATACCACCGTTTGTTTTGCCTGCGTGTTTTTGCGGATTTGGAATCCTTAATTCTGTTGCTCCCAGTTCCATGGCCAGCGGCCGCGCCTGCGGGGGCACCTGGCGCCTTTATGGTGACGTGCAGTTAGAGCTGGCCAACGTCAGAAACCGCCATTGCCATGGCAATGGGGAATAATAAGCTGGGGGGAGCGCGGCGCGCGCACTAAGTGCCCGCCCCCGCACCAAAAAATGCGAAAATACACCGGTTGCGTCGCGCGCTAAGCCCCCCCCCCATCCGAAAGGGTTTTCACCGGTCGGGTTCAGACCGCATAGCTTTTGCTTGTAGAACCGTCTTCACTTTTGGTGCGATGATGAAAATAGATATCTACGTGCGTTTGTCTTGCAACGGGGGCGGGGGTGTGGGTGGGCTGGCTCGATGACATTTCAACAGTTTTCACGCGTGGCGCATCCGCGCGCGCATTGCCGTTGGCTCGCGTGCCTGTGGGGTTAGCGGGCCGGGGGCGCAAGGGCATCGAAGTGCGGCCCGGGGGGGGGGGCCTTGAGGTTGGCTGGCGGAAAGTGGGGCCATCGAATTTGAAGAAGCCAAACGCCACAAAAACAATGACAGTCCGAGTGTGGCATGCACCATTTACACTACATGTACGTCTGCATGCAAATTTGACACATGAGCGTGCACATGCGCATTCATGCGGGCACGTGGGGCAACGTGACGACGTGCAACAGTGATGTGCGGGATGTGTTGTTCTCTGTGCATGCCAGGCAATGTCCGAGTGATTCTTGCTGCGCGACGCCCTCGGCATGGTCGACCTTGAGGCGCGGCGGGATCTGGCGTTCCCCACCTTGAACCAGACTCAGAAACGGATCGTCCACATGATGCCGAAGTGCGTTGCCGCCGACGAAATCTCTCTCGACGGCGTCGCCCAGCACCGTGTCTGGACGCCTCCGCGCCCGCGCGGGCCGAGGCGGAGGCCGCCCGATGCCCCGGCGGGGGCGGGCGGCGGCGCGGACGACCCAGGGGGTTGTTCAGATGACGAGCAATGCGAGGATATTCTGAAAACATGTAAATTATCGGGGGCACCTGGTTTATTTCGGTTACAAGCATCTGGCAACCAGGGCCAACTTATTTGACGTGTCTGCTCTGGTCGTAACGCATACTGTCTAGGCGTAGTTGTTTTGCCCCGAGTCCTGTATTTGCTTGGTTGCGTTGTTCATTTAACCCCCCCGTTCCCCGCGAGCAGGATAGCCTGGGCGAGTCTTGGGGGGTGGGCGGTAGTGCGTATTCACGGACGTCCTCTTCTGACGACAGTAGCACGGGAGGGGGTCCGAGCTTGGGCTGTGGATCCGACCGCGCAGACGGCGATTCCGAATAGGGCCGCCCTCCAGATGAGGTTCCCGGCCGGGGCGCGGCGGTTCGCCCGCCCCCGGATCCTCCGCCGCCAGCGGGCCCTGATCCTCCTCCGGCGGTTTCCCTGCTTGGCCCCGTTCCGCCCTCCCCCCCCCCTGCCGCCCCTGCGGGCGTTGGCGGGGCCGTTGGCGCCGACGGGAGCTCGCGGCAACGGGCGCGCAGGAAGTCCCAATCCACGCGCGCATTAGAGGCCCCACGTGGCAGCATAAAAAATTAGAAGCCTGATCGATCACGACTTGTGTGTCATTGCAATGACCTATCGTGTCAGTCGAGAGAAGAGAGAAGGCAGCGCGTCGTTCAGAATGCGCAGGTGGGCGCGGCCAGGGACAAAGCCACGCCTGGGGCCGCCTGGCCTCGGGGAAACTCACAAGCATCTAAAGGGCAGCATTGCGCATGCGAGCCAGACCTAGAAGAACAGCTTGCGCGCGGGACCGCGCGCGGGGAAGACGTCGGATAACCCTGGCGCAAGTTTGAACGGGAGTGCCAAGCTCTCAAGTGCACTGCTGATGAAGGCAGCGAGCTTATTGTTTGTTCCGTGAGTGACTTGGTCATGTTGCATGGCGTCTCTATGTGTGCTCACCCTTGCAGCTAGCGCTCCAGCACTGAAAGGCCATGAGCAACGCGCTTCTCAAGAATTCTATGCGAGCACAATTGTCCACGCGCGAGTATACCCATTGGTTCGGCAGTCGGGGCCGCCGTCGCCGCCTGATCCGCCAGACCCCCCGCGATGATCGATGTGCGGGGGCGCGCCGACATGGCCGGCGCGGGGGCCCCATGGTTCCCACGTCTCAGAGTCTTTCAAGGCCTCGGGGTTCAGTGTTGGGGTCTTGCTCACGGGGGCCCCAGGGTTCTGGCGCCCCGGGGTCTCTCGGGGCCTAGGGGCTCAGTCTTTGGGCCTTGCTCCCGCGGGCTCCAGGGTTCCAGCGTCTCAGGGCCTCGCAGGGCCTGGGGGTGCAGTCCCGGGGTCCTGCTCCCGTGGGCTCCAGGGCTCCTGCGTCTCAGGGTCTCTCATGGCCAGTGGTTTAAGTCTCGGGGCCCTGCGCCCGTGGGCTCAAGGGTTCCAGTGTCTCAGGGCCTCTCAGGGCGTAGGTTTTCAGTCTCGGGGCCGTGCTCCCGCGGTCCCCAGGGCCCCGGTGTCTCAGGGCCCGTCAGGACCTATGGGGTTCAGTCCTGGGGTCTTGTTCCCGCGGGCATCAAGGTTCCGGTGTCTCAGGGCCAGCGGGCCCTGGGGGTTTACGGGTGCATGGAGACATGGGGTGTCTGCGCTGGTTTGACAGTCTTCTCAGGGCCTCTCAGGGCCCAGGGGTTCGGGGTGTCTGGGGTTATGCGGTGCCTGGGTTGTCCGTGAGGTATGTTAGGGCGTGTTGTTGCGAGCGCATTCGCCCTTCTTGCTCCTGCTCGTCGCCCGCCTCCCCCGGCCTTCCACATTGCCATGCAGGCTTGTGCTCGCGTCGCCAGCGCAGAGATCACAGTTGCAAGTGCGCTCCATTTCCATTACCATCCATATCCCGAATTTGATGCATTGCGTCGTCGGAGTTTGCCTTGCACTCCCATGAACAGCCGGCATGGCTGCGGCTTGCGTTGTCTGCGCTCTTCCGCGCCAGGATCGGGCTGCACGTAGTTTATCATATTTCTTCTCACTCATCTCCATGCTCTTCCCATATCGCTTCCTGTTCCCAGAGGACAATACGGCGCTGTGCAGCAGGCGCTCCGATGTCCACGCCTTCCTCTTCTGATTCATTGGTGCCGAAAGTGGCTATGCCGTCGCGGCTAACGAGAGCGCGATATGGAAACCGGCTGGCGAACAACGCGCTTGACAGAACGCGTCAACGACCGTCTGCTCGGACTGCTGACTCAGAGGATGTCAGCTCAGCGTTGTCGAGCACATCGGGGTATTGCTTCGAGCGCGCGCTGCTCGCAGAGCACCGATCGCGCCCCCTCACCGGGCCCCCCCGCTCAGTCCGAAACGCGCGCTTGAGAGCCGCGAGAGGTGAGACATCGACGAACGCGGTCAGCTCAGGCTTCATTAGTCGATGATAGACGACGCGCGCGCCGCGCGTGACCCCCGCGCGCTCGGCTTTCGCGCGAAAAGATGTCGCGGGCGCTCAGCGCGCAGCAGCAGCGTCATTTTTTGGCGACGAATGGTTCTATGCTGGGGGGCCAAGTGGGCCAGGCATTCAAATGGGGCGCTCAGATGGATGCTGGGATGATTGCCGAGGCCAATGCGATTGACGTGCCTCTGCTCAGCGCGGCGCTGATGCTCCAGCGGTAGAATAGACCAGGGAGGGGTGCCGAACCAGATTCGACGGGGGCCCCAGGTGTGGCAGTGTTCTCAAGCAGCCGCCCATCGTGCAGATTCGGCTTGTGCCCGACAACCGCGATGCACAGCTCCTTGAGCCCCCAGCGCAAACTAGTCCTCCAGCTGCGATCGTGCCGGCAGTTCAATGGAGGGCAAGCCCTGGGAAGGAGCGCCCGCCACTGGTGATGTTCGTCTCGCGGGCGGGGGCGGGGGCGCAATCCGCGTCTCTGGCAGCGTCGGCACTTGCAGCGCGCGACGGCAGACCTGGAGCTTCGAGTCGACACGGCTCCGCCAGCGGCTCTTCGCCGCCGCCGTATGTAGCCCTCAACGGCCTCGGCCGGCTTGCTGAGTCAGAGGGCGGCAATGGCAGTGCTTGCGCGGACTGGCCAAATTACGTGCCAGGCAAGTTTTTTTGTTGGATCGAGAAAAATGATTTGCCCCAGAGTATCAGCAAACGCAAGATCAAGAACTGCACCAAAGAAGCCAAGGACCGTCTGGGGAGGATCAAAGGAAAGCCTGAGTCTGCTGTCGTCTATTCCAAGCTGGCCAAATCCATGCTCCTCGCCGGGGTCGCTCAGAAGATCGGAACGGAGGAAGGGGTGTCAATCATGCTGACCGATGATGATGTCAGACGCGGCAGGGAGCCAATCTGCAGCTCACCTAATGGAGGAGCGCAACTGTTGGACCCGAGCTACATGTTCGCCCTCGTACAACGCAAGATTTTCAAGATTCTACCAGAGGGCGGGCAGGTAGACTCCTCAATCAGTGATGTAGTCAAGCAGGTGCGATTCCATGTCAGACCGTGAGGAGGCGCCATCTCCGTCCGTGATTCGGCAGCTGAGATGGGAGAGGCGCTACGTGACTCCGACGCCCGAGTTGATGCCCAGAACAGCGGCGTGGGGTCGATGCCCGCAGACAGCCCTGTGTTTGACAAGTCTGGACCCTTCGGCCCTCTTGCGCCGGGGATCTCGTCTATTCGGGCGCAGCGCATCTCAGGTCGCTCCAAGATGTGCATGTCGCTGCTCGTCGATAGCATGCTGTGCGGCGCGATTCTGAGGGGCGAAGCCTGCAAGGACAACGCGCGCGCGTTCGCCGATGCCCCGACGCAATCCGTGCGGCGCGACCTGCACATGTCCGTGGCCACGGCGTGCCACGACACTTGTACTTGCGAGCTGCTCACTCCGGTGAGGCAGGTGACCTTCTTGGCGCATATCGGCAACGGCCAGGTGCAGACCGACTACGCGGACAAGTGCGCCGAGTTTATTCTTTTCGGCACTCAGCGACGCTGCAAGAGCAGACGGAGCAGGGCATCCAGAAGTCGGTGAATGCTTCGTTGAAAAGACTGCTGAATAGTGGTCAAGGTTATCTACGCGACACCGACGCACAATGACACCCTCATCACCTTCAAACACCGGGATTCGATCATGTCGGGCTTCGCCAAGCACTTTGCATTTCCACTACAGGATGCGCCACGGTTGCGCTCCGCCCTCCATGGAAGGGAACGCAGCGGCTCGTCCAGAATTACCAAGGTGGACGTCCGACGCGCACAAGATCACCAGCCAGTCTTTCGAGTCGGTGCTAAGCCGCTTCGTCGGGGCCTCCGCCCACGTGAAGTTTGCCATCCATGTGCTAATGGGCAAGACCATGCGTGCTCAGCCGCTAGACCCGCCCATCAATTTCATTTTAATAGCCGCCAAGAAATTCCCCGAGCAGGGGTTCCTGCGCGCGGCCCTCGAGAGCACGAAGCAGCTCGAGCTGGGGAAGACGCAGCGCGCCGCTCGACGCGCGTTGAGGCCGACCGCGCAACTCTGGTGGAAGCGATGACGCCTGAGAGGAGGAAAGAGTATACGTTTGGACTCGTCGACGCGCCCGTGATCGCGCTGACGGAGCTGCAGGGCATCAAGATCACGTCCGAGGCGAAGAGGCTGCTGTTTACGACCGTCGTCAACCAAGCTGGCTCGGCGGTCCAACACTTCAACGGCGAGAAGACTGGCTTGGCGATCTCTGGTTTTTCAGGCAGCCCCGAAAGCATCCTAGTTTCTGATGTTCGGGGTTTTGCGAGGTGCATGGGAGGCCGCGTGCGAACCCACCCCGCCACCCGACGGTTTCTAGGGGGGGATAGGGCTCGCGCGTGGCCTCCCGGCGCAGACGCATCCACGCGAGATCAAGATGATCGGCCTTCTGATCAAGAACTTGGCGGCGTTTGCCGAGGCCCAGAATGAGCTCGTCGAGGCGGGCCAGACCATGAGCGATGATGGCGTGAAGAAGCCCGTCCAGTCAGAGACGGACAGCGACTGCCACTTCATTTCGAAGTTCGTTTATTTGGTTGCAGCGCGGGCAAGCCACACGACGTCGCCGCCGAGTCGACCAGCTTCGAGGACGCGGCCGAACAGTTTCTCACCCGCCTCAGGGGCCGCCTCTGCTGCTCGGGGAACTCGGCCGGCCTGCTTTTTGTAATGCGCGAGAAGGTTGAGAAGGCGGCCCTCGTCTCCAAGCAGGAGTTATTTGAGAAGTTCTCAGGTGGCACACCTGACGGCGAACTCCGGTCCGACGGCCTCGACGAGAGCACTTCGGCGGCCTCGCGAAGACGGCGCCCATTCGCAACTGCAAGGCCACGCCCGAGCAGGTCAAGGGTGCGAAGGCGGCGCTGGCAGAGGTACCCCGCCCAGATCCATCGCAACAATCGGGCAACAGGGGGCGGCGGTGGTAAGAGCGCCAGGGCAGGATGTTGAAGGTGGCGAGAGGCGGGGGGGGGGGGCGAGGGTTGAGCGTGTCTTTCGGAGGTAAATTAGCTTCATAAGCTAAACTCACATTTGCACACCATAATATTCTGATTAAACTCATAATCAACTTCTGGCCCGGAGCTCTTGTTTTATTTTTTTGAAACTCCGAGTTAACTTTGGTCTGAACTCTGTTTTAATTCTGATTCGGCTATATCCCCAGCCAGAGCTAAATCAGAGTTAGAGTCAGAGTACCAGACCAGAGCTATTTCACAGCGGAGCCAGAGAGATGAATCAGAGGTTCAGCCAGCCAAACCAGAGATGAATCGTAGTTTCAGGCCAGTGCCACAACAGAGCTGAATCAGAGTACCATCAGGGTTCTGGCAGTCCCCGGCGGAGGGCGCGGGGCGCGCCGCAAGGGGATTCCCCCCGTCCTGCGGCGAGGCCTTCCCCCCCCCATATTATACTGTTTCCTCTCTCCTTGCCCATCCCCCTTCCTCCCCTCGTTTTCTTTCCTGCCTCGTCTATCCCCTCCCTCCTTCCCCCGCTTCCCTCTCCCTCCCTTTTCCCTCCTCCCCCGTTCGCCTTCCTCCCCCCCTCCCCCCTCCCCTCCTCCTCAGTTTGTCTCCTCCCTCCTCCCTTCGTCCCCTCCCTTATTCCCCATTATCCCTCCTCCTCTTCCTCCCTCCTTGGCCCCCCGAATCCCGTTTCCTCCGTCCCCGGTCGCCGTCGCCCTCCACGTGCTGCCCATCCTCTGCCCTCGGCCCCCATCCCCTCTTTCGTCCTTTTGTTCCTCCTCCTCGTCCTCCTCATCCTCCCCCTTCCCCCTCCTCCGTATCGAGCGTCAGTCTTCGCTCCTCGGCCTCAGTACCCCGCCCTCGTTCTCGCCCTCGCTTCCCCGCTCGCCCAGGGCCCCGCGCCCGACCTCGTCTCCGCCCTCCCCCCCGCGCCCGCCTTCGCTCCCGCCCGAAGTCATTTTCACTTCAGCCCTCTTTCTCGCCTTCTCCTTCGATCCCGTCCTTGCTCTCACCGTCGTTCCCGCCTTCGTTTCCGCCCTCGTTCCAACCTTCGTTCGCGCCCTCGTTTTCGCCCTCGCCCCCGCCGACGCTCCCGCCCTCGTTCCCGCCGTCGCTCCCGCTCTCGTTTTCGCCTTCGTTCCCGCCCTCGTTCCCGCCCTCATTCTCGCCCTCGTTCCCGCCCTCGTTCCCGCCCCCGTTCCCGCCCTCGTTCCCGCCCTCGCCTCCGCCCTCGTCCTCGCCCTCGTTCCCGCCTCCGTTCCCGCCGTCGTTCCCGCCCTCGTTATCGCCTTCGTTGCCGCCCCCGTTCCCGCCCTCATTCTCGCCTTCGTTGTCGCCCCCGTTCCGGGGCCGCCCGCAGGCCGCCCGGGGAACCCAAGGGCCGCCCGGGAAAATCAGACTTGAAACAGAGTTCCGGCTAGACCTCAAACAGATTTCGAACTGACCTCAAACAGACTTCAAACATATTCCAATCAGAGTTTGGCCCAAAACAGACCTCAAACAGACCCCGAACATACCGTCAACAGACCTCAAACAGACACCAAACAGACTTCAAACTGACCGCCCAGAGGTTCCCCGGAGTTCCCCGGAAGTTCCAGGGAATTCCCGAGGCGCCCAGAGGAGTCCCAGAGGCGCCCAGAAGCGGCCCCCCGCCCGCTCCCGCCCTCGTTCCCGCCCTCGCCCCCGCCCTCGTTCTCGCCGTCGTTTTCGCTTTCGTTCTTGAGTTTTTGCCCTCGTTTTCGCCCTCGTTCCCACTTTCGTTCCCGCCTTCGTTCCCGCCCTCGTTGTCGCCCTCGTTCCCGTCCTCGTTCTCGCCTTTTTTCTCTCCTGCGTTTTCGCCTTCGCTCCCGCCGTCGCTCCCGCCATCGTCCCCGCCGTTTCTCCCGCCCTTGTTCCCGCCCATGTTCCCGCTTTCGTTCCCGCCCTAGTTCCCGCCATCGTTCTCGTTTTCGCCTTGCTTCCCGCCCTCGTTCCCGCCTTCCTATCTCCCTCGTTCTCGCCTTTGTTCCCGGCTTCGTCCCCGCCTTCGTTCCCGCCCTCGTTCTCGCCCTCGCTCCCGCCCTCGTTTCCGCCTTCGCTCTCGCCTTCGTTATCGCCCTGGTTCTCGCCCATCGCCCCCGCTCCCGTTCCCGCCCCAGTTCCCGCCCTCGCCTCCGTTTTCGTTTTCGCGAGCGTTCCCGCCCTTGCTGCTTGTCCCCGCCTTCATTCTGGGCGCCTCCCAGGGCGCCCCCCGCGCCCCCGGGCCTTTCGAAAAGCGCGGCGTTTCTCCGTTGCGCGCCCTGCCCCCGAATTGCCCCGGGCGGGCGGCGGGGATCGGGGTGGTCACCGCGATGCGCATCCTGTCGCGGCGCGGCAGCTGGCAGCCCTGGGGGGCGAGCCTCGGGCGAGCCTTTTTTCGCCCCAGCTGCCGTTGAGCAGTTTTGGGCCGGGCAGCGCATGCGGGGGGCGCTGCCCCGCGCCCCCCGCGCAGGCCTCAGCCTGGGCGTTGCCGCAGGGCGGCGTGCGCAGGCGGGCCCAGCTCACAGCATTTGTATTCGGCAGCTGGCGGCTGGGCCCCCAGCCATGAGCCGCCGCTTGGCTTGCGCATTCCTTCTGGTGTTCTTGAAGACGCATGCGCACGGGGCCGACCCGGCAGCGTCCTGGGCCGACGCCGCGACGTTGGTTTCGGCGGGCCTAAACCACACCATAATCATTTTTACTTTAGAGTTCCCACTCAGACCTAAATCAGATTTTTGGGCCTCAGGGCCAGAGTTAAATCAGAGTTCCAGTCAGACCTAAATCGGAGGTTGTGCTGAGGGCCAGACTTGAATCCGAGTTCCAGCGCAGACGCGAATCAGACCTTCATCCGAGTTTTGGGTCTGAACAGAGAAACAGAGTCTGCTCCCAGAAGACGCACTCAAGGCGAGGGGCGAAGCGGGGGGGGGGGGGGGGCGGCGCGGCGGTGGCAACTGCCAAAGCGGTACGGGGCGACCGCCCAGCGAAGCATCGCGCGGCCCCATAGGGGGGCCCGCAGAAACCCACAGTGGGACCGCCCGCATGCGTCAGCCACCACCCAGCGCAGCGCTTCGTGGCCCCATCGGGGCTCCACCGAAGGCCCCAGCGGCACTGGCCGCATGCGTCGGCCACCACCCAGCACAGCGCTTCGCGGCCCCGCAGGGAGCTCCGCCGAAGGTCCCAGTGGGGCCGCCCGCATGCGTCAGTGGCACCGCCCGCGCGCGTCCGCCCCCCTCCCCCCCCCCGCCCGGCGCGGCGCTTCGTGGCCCCACAGGGGGCTCCACCGAAGGCCGCGTGCGTCAGCCACCGCCCAGCGCAGCGTTTCGCGGCCCAATAGGACGGCTCCAACGAAGGCCCCAGCGGGGCCGCCCGCGTGGGTCAGCCACCGCCCAGCACAGGGCATCGTGGCCCCATGGGAGCTCCACTGGAGGCCCCAGCGGGGCCGCCCCCATGCGTCAGCGTCCACCCCAGCGCAGCGCTTCGTGGCCCCATAGGGTGCTCAGCCGAAGGCCCCAGCGGCCCCGCCCGCATGGGTCAGCGACCGCCCAGTAAAGCGTTTCGCGGCGCCACAGCGAGCTCCTCCGAAAGTCCCAGTGGGGCAGCCCGCATGCGTCCGCCACCGCGCAGCACAGCGCTTCGTGGCCGCATAGGGGGCTCCCACGACGGCCCCAGTAGCCCAGCTTCGCGGCCCCATTCGGGGCTCCGCCGGAGGCCCCAGTGGCGCCGCCCACAAGCATCAGCCACCACCGAGTACAGCGTTCCACTGTCCCATTGGGGGCCCCACCGAAGACCCCAGTGGGGCCGCCCGCATGCGTCCGCCACCCCCCAGCGCAGCGCTTCGTGGCCCATGCATGGGGAACTCCACCGGCGGTCTCGACGGGCCGCCCGCATGCGTCGGCCGCCGCGCAGAAACGCACCAGTGGCGCCGCCCGTGTCGCACTTCGCGGCCCCATTGATTGGGGGCTCCACCAAGCTCCAGTGGCGCCGCCCGCGTGCGCCCCACCCGGCGCAGCGTTTCGCGGCCCCGTGGGGAGCTCCAGTGGCCCGCCCGCATGCGACCCCCCACCCAGTGCAGCGTTTCGTTGACCAATTGGGAGCTCCGCCGAAGGCCCCAGTGGCGCCGCCCGCGCGCGCCCCCCTTCCCAGTGCAGCGCTTCGTGGTCTCATAGGGAGCTCCACCGAAGCCCCCGCTGGCGCCGCCCGCATTCGTCGGCCGCCACCCAGCGCAGCGCTTCGTGGCCCCGTCGGGAACTCCGCAGAAAGAACCCAGTGGCACCGCCCGCGTGCGTCCGCCACCATTCAGCACAGCGCTTCCTGGCTTCGTCGGGAACTCCAGCGAGTGGCGCCGTCCGCAAGCGTCCGCCACGACCACTTCAGCGCTTCGTGGCCCATAGCGGGCCCCGCCGAAGTCGCCAGTGGCACCGCCCGCACGCGCCCCCCCCGCCCATTGCGGCGCGCCCCTCACGCGCTTCGCGGCCCCATTGGGGGCGCCGCCGAAAGCGGCAGCCACGGCGCGTTACTCGCACTTGCACGCGGGCGGGCCCTTCGCCAGGATATTCGTTTCCTTCCTTGGTGGGGGGGGCGACCGCGCAGCGATAGGCGCGACGCGCGAGATGGGCCACAGGGTGGCCATATCACCGAGTGCGAGGCGCTCATCCTCCACGCGCCGCCCCACAGCGATGCGAGGTTCAAGGTGGCCCAGCTCGTCGCGGCCCAGGCCGGGGAGCTCGATCGCGTCGAGGCGAAAGAAACAGCCTCGCCCGCCCTCTCAGAGGGACGAGGCCCGCCAAGGCGACGGGCGGCAAGTAGTAGACAGCGCTTGCCCCCGCCGATCGCCCCCTCGCCCCCGCCCCGCCAGCGACGGCAGCGGCGACAGCGGCGGCGACGTCCACCCAGCTGGAAGCAACGCAAGCACTGGCAGCACCCTGTCTCTCTGCATCTGCCCCCCTCCAGGCCGGCGCCAGTGGGCGGAGGGCGAG